ATGACTTCAGTAATGAAATATTTTGACATTCAAACACCTCTGATAAGCGGATCTATATGCAAACCATATTGAATAGAAGGATGTACGACGCGAGTCTTGAATTATCAATAATGAGATATTTTACTTCTTCGCTTGCATATGGAGTATACATCTCCCAGTTAATACAATATTCCAGAGCTTGCATTTTACCGGGTATATAATGATTTCCTTGATAAATGGTTGCTACTTACAAGGAAGCTTTAATTAAAGGTCCCAAGTGGTGAATTTAGTAATCCCATTGAAATTTTTGTGGACGTCATCACGAGCTCTTTGATCGTTATGAAATATTTATTTTATAAATGACGACGGATATGTTCCAATTGTTGTTACCACAATCCCATTCTCTTTTCCTCGAATGTGATATCACCGAATTAGACTTATCAACAAATTTGTACTGACACGAGCAATAGAACAGGCGTCACATGTGGAACAGAATCTGCTTACTTCTGAAACACCTGAGATCACCAACGGTTTTGATTGTGTTCGTGTTAATCAGTCTTTAAATTGCTATGTTGTGTATAGTAGAATGTTGTTTGGCATTTGGTCCTTTTTAGATTTTTTTGCCATAGATTGTCAGTGTGTATTCGACTTTCGAGCTTGAATGCCTCGTTTGTATCTTCTGCCTCTCTTTTACAGTATCGCAAGAGTTTCTTTTGAGCCTTTAGTTAAAATGAAATAGCCAATTTACAAGTCTTTTGCGGTAGTCGCAGACCTGTAGACATTTGTGAAAAGCACATTTGTAAAATAAAAAGTACAGCTGAATTTTGCGAATTGTTTTCATAATTTATTGTTTTTTTTTTTCTTTTTCTTCATTTCATTTTCTTGTTTGGGAAATATATTTAACTTTTTGAGTTTTTGAGCACAGTACAAACTTTTTAAGCTACGTTCACAAGTAGTTGAATTTTTGACCTACTATTTAAATCCTTGGTATACTTTTGAATTAAGATTCCTACAACCTTTAAGCTAAAAATATGCCCCAGGAATAGATTACCTTACCTTTATTTGACGAAACCTTTCGGAGTTTTGGGTCCTCAATGCTCCTCAACTTCGCACCTGATTTGGCGTATTTAACTTTTTTTATTCGAGCATCACTGATGAGTCCTTTGTAGACAAAAAACGCGCGAAAAATTACTAATTTCATATTGACAATTGATAGCGGGTTTTCACAGCATATAACAAGAACACGACGTCTTCTATAATTAACTAAAAGGGAGGAACATGCTCATTTTAAAGACAGTTCACATAAAATAACAAACAAAAAAGTTTTTTTGAAAAAGCCTTCAAAACCCAAGACTGGAAAGAAACTATAATCGACACATATTTATGTTCACAACATTTGTTCTTCCTATGAAATTCCATACATACTACCTTCATAGTCATCGATTGATGTCAAATCAACAAGCTTTAGGTTGACAAGTTTACATGTGAGTAAACACGATATTGTAATGTAAGTAAAATACATGTGAACCAGACAGTAAATCGGATCAATAAGTGCAAAACAATATCATCAAAAAATCTTCTCTTTACTGAAAAGGATATCACTGCTTATTGATATGGACATACTCATAAATGCAAACAGAAAATATAAAATTAGAAAGGAAAGAAACAACATATCTATTTTGACACCAATCAATAAGGACAAGCAAAAGAAATCTAACATACGCTATAAAACATTGCTGATAGCAGTGGCAATAACCTATAATATTTATATATTTCCATGTCCAATTAACACAATTATGACACTAATCAGCATTTATTATTAACTGGCATCCATAGTAAAAAAAAAGCTATACAATGTTTAAAAAGCATTCTATTTTGAATTATTCATAGTCCTTGGAAAAAATTTGTCACCTCCTTCATCAGGTGACATTATTATCCTGGCTTATGATGTGTAGATCAGATCATAGATTATGTTCTTATTTTAGTAAGGCCTTGCAGATATCAAACTTTATAACGTATCATCATCTTTTAAATTACAAAAATAAGAGGCAACAGTAGTTTTATTATACCGAAGCTCAAATCTCATAAATTCATTAGGAAGATACAAATCAAGGTCAAAAACATAAACCTTACTGGAAATCTGGAAATTTGATTTCTAAATAAACGTTTTACCTATATAGGTAATCATGGAAGTGAAATATAACAAGAGGCTCCTAAGAGTCTGATTCGCTCACTTAAATTTTTTGTGAAGATCTTACACCAATGATTACTTTACTATTTAATATATTTCAATGCGTGTTTAAACATGTCGTTTATATTTCCTCTTTATCTTATATAATTACTGCAATTAACTATAAGAAATTGGTAAAAATCATCTTTTTATTCGTAATTGACAATTTAGGTTTTTTGACTTATTTGTAGGTCTTACTTTGCTATTCAAAGTTTCTGTATATCTATCATAGTTTCTGAAGAAAAAAAAAACATAAAAAATTTATAAAAATAGTCCATCAAGGGAAATAACGCCTATAAGGGATCAATTGTCGAATTCGGTCCTAGACTTATTTGTAGATCTTACTTTGCTGAACAGTTTTGCTGTTTAAAATTTCTTTTCATCTGAAATAGTTTTCAAGATAATAACCAATAACTAAAAAAAATTCATAAACAATAATTTCATGGCCAATAACTCAAAATTGGGTTGTCTGATTAATTTGTTTGAAAGTTGCATAGTAAATAGATCTTGACCTGCTGATAATTTATTCCACGACCGTTTTGCTCTAACTGCTTTAGTTTTTGAAATTAAAGCCAAAAGCTGCATTTTTTTTCTATGTTTAGCCAGGGCGGCAATTTTTGTTGACTGACCGAAATAAAAAACACAAAAGTTTATATAAGAAACCATACTGATCATTCATCCTAAGTTTGGTTGAAATTGGTTCAATAGTTTTAGATGGTAAGATCTTTGAAAAAGTATACGACGACAACGAACGCCAACTAATATTAATAAGTCACATGGCCCTGTGGTCAGGTCAGCTAAAAGAGATATTTAATTTTATTCAATTAATTCTTTCGATATCTAATTGATTTTCAGCTAAAAATCATTGAAATGGAAGCTTTTATACAAGTTACAAATACATAGCAAATGTTGCTGTCAGAACTTAATCTTTGTCTTAGCTGAATGTGCAGTATTCAAACATCTGAAATAAAAATTTAAAGAGCAAATCATATTTTCTATTAAAAAAAGGGGGAGGCGGAAGATACAAATGGGATAATCAAAATTCAAAAGTCGAAGAGACAAAGCCATGGTCTAAAAACGAAAAAAACAACAATAAGACTAGACAGGCTATATAAGACTACATAGAAAACTGAAGACTGAGCAACACCATCCCAATGACAAACCAGGAGTGATCAAGAAGCTCCGATAGAGTAAGCAGATCTTGGTCAGAAATAAATTAGTGGCATCTATAAAATGTCATGAAACAATCATTTGACTCCATATAGTTCTTTTGTTTATTATAAAAAATAGAATTCTTTTTAGAAAAATAGTTCAGCAGTCAAGATCTACAAATAGTCAGACATCGTCAACGGACTCCTTATAGGGAAAATTAGTTGTCATAATGCCAAAAATGGTCAAATTATAATTTCAAGCCATTACTAAAAAAGGAGTCGATTGATTTTTATGTGTTCACTTATAGATCTTGTTTTGGCTCAATGTTTGTTTTATGTTTACAGTTCCTGTCTATTCTATTTTTTTAATCAAAAATAATTGCCAAAAATGCAAAAAATGGATAAAAGTTATCATTTAAGGGTAATATCTCCTATAAGGAGTGTACTGACATTTCAGTGATGTAGACTTATTTGATGGTCATGTATAGCTTATCTTTTTGCTGTTTTAAGTCTTTCTCTATCTGTAAGTTTTCAATAGAAAGCTCTAAGAGCCAAAAAATGATCTTTTTTGGCAGTCACCTGACAATTTTGGAAACATTGACTTATTTGTTTATCTTGTCTTGTATTAATTGTTAATTCGTTCTTGTCTTGATATTCATGAAATAATTTCGCCAGGGCGTTGAGCAAGTATCAATTTATCAATTAAAATTATGGGAAAAAAACAGCACACAAATTGGTAAAAATTAGTAATTCTAGGACAAAAGCCATAGATGATCAATTTACAACGAAAAAATTTATAATTGGTCTTCTGGTCGTTTTGAGTTTTTTTATCATCTCATGTAGTTCTCCAGATATAAACCAAAAAAATATGCTGACCCCTCTGTTCTAATCACAGCAGCATTTCAGGGATATTCAGGAATAGTTGATAAGGTTCAGCCTAGTAATTTGAGACAAATATATTTTTTTGAGAAAGTTTATGCTGAACAACGACAACTATGCAGGACGACAACAGATGCATATGATGGCAATAGCTTATAAGGAACTTTTAGTCCAGGGAATAGCTGAGAAAAGTGATGAGTCTGTACTTACTTAAAAAGGTTTAAACAATTAAATGTTTATGTATCTGTCCAAAGTCAGAAACACCATCAGTGTCTGTCTTAGTTAATATCTAAGTGTGTCTTGTCAATTTAGGTATATGGTATTGCAGACAGATATTGTTAGTAGATGTTGAATTCAGTCACTTGTTGAAACTTAGGTTAAATTATGGTGTTGATTGTATGCATTGCATATTTGTCCATTGCTTGTGACCACATGTGTACTTACTGAGATTGTATTGTGCTGTTTGAGTGCTGTCCCATTGATGTATTCACATCTTTCAGATTTTCTTCAAATTTAAAGAAAGAAAAATATGTCCTTAAGGCAACTTTATTCACAACATTATTTAATGTATTCAAGAATTGTTTGCAACTTTAGAATGTTTACAATGTCAACTGCACTTTGTGCCAGGATAAAACAACTGGTTGCTGACTTCTATGTTAAGCTATAGACAATAAAAAGATATATGACAGACTAGCCAGTCTAATCATTTATCCAGCATTCAAGCACATGGAAAACAATGGCATTACACATTATGCAATATATACTTTTTGTAGTCATTTTATTTTAAAACAGAATCAAAACATGCAGATAGATAGGTTACGTTTTAAAAATATTCTGGGGTACATGAATTTCATTTCTTACACTTTTCAACAATACAGTAAACAAGTACACTCCTGAAAATAACAAAATAGACAACAAATCTAATCATAAACAAAACTAAATTATTTTTACACATTTTTGTGTGTATAAATACTTGTTTAAAATATAAAATGACCATAAGAGGAAAAAAAAAGCTGCATGAAGTATGCATATGTATATTAATGCCTTGTTTCATAATATATATATATAAATCAAATACAACCAAGAATTTGACATGTCATACCAGAGGTCCTTTTTAACAGAAATTATGTAGAAGTAGTCTGAATATTAAATAAAGAATAATAAATATTTTACTTACAAAAAATTATCTTATCTTCTATAAACTTTCCTCTGCTTATTATCTACTATTACAAGGATTATAAACATTCCCTTAATCAACAATCTATAAAGTAGTTCTATAATAGTAATTATTGACTACAAATTGATTCCTGGTGTATAGTACCAGCTGGTAGATACGATAGAGAGGGTTTGAAATTAAAAAAGAGAGATGTGAGAATATATCAATCCTTTTACTCCATATCTCATTTTTAATGACTAAAACTAAGTACAGCTGAAAATGCCAATTCGTCTGAACCTGCCTGCGAATCACATCTAGTTCCTTCACTAAATTATGTTTCATGCAGTTATCAAGTTTATTACTGCTGATATACTAGGAACACAATATATATGTTCTACCCCTGAAATACCAAACGTTCAGTCAAAATTCTTTCATCTTCAGAAAATTCAGAAATTTTTCCAATGTTTTTATTATTAGGAAAATTGCAACAAGATAGGTTTTGCAAAAAATAAAACGTATTTGTATGCACCATTTCTTGAAATCATGATAATCAATCATGTATTTTTGTTCATTATTCAACAATTGTGAAAATAAATGCACACAGAAATTTCTGAATTTACATTATTCTTCAACTACAATTCACCTATTTCTTTCTTAAATGCTATAATTATTACTATTATATAAAAAATTACCAGTATACAAACTCTCTATTAAAATTTTCAATAATATGTGCATACATTTCCTAGAAATTTCTACTGAAGTCATGAAACTATGTAAAAGTAAAAAAAATTCAGTGAAGAGCATGCAAAACGAGGATATTAATTTGTAATGAATTTAATGAAAATCTTTATGAATGACTTAAAAAACAATATCAACAACTAAAGTTTTCCACAATTTTAGTACAAATGTATTTGTAGCTGTTGTGTCCCTGGCCTTTGCTACTATCAAAATACAGGCCAAGAGTCAGTCAGTGCAACAGCAAACTAAAAAAACACCAATAAATTGTTTTAAGATATATTTCTCACCTGTAAACAACATAGTGAAAAAACCATGATTAATAAACTTGCATTTACATTCAAGATTGCTCCTTTAATCTATCATAGCTCTATGCACCACTGAGACAAAAATATACCTTTAATTTGTACACATCATAGTTACCAACTCTCACACTTTTGGCATGTAATACACAACTTTTTAAACTATTAACCCACTTATTTTGTCACAAATAGAAAAGTGTTCCATGTCTGTTAATGCCATCACATGGTGATCACATGCAATCTCATACTTTTTGTAACATGTTACAAAGCAGGTTTTCAGTTATTAGTTCATAAAAACAATTAAATTTTAAAACTTAATATTTCTCTTAAAATTGGAGTGTGGCACATATTCTACTAAACATTTAAATGTACTGATACTGATACACCAAATATCAAGTTAATTATTTCTTTATAAACAACTTTGATCAGTAAAATAAACATTTGAACAATGCAAATCCCATAGTCACTTAAACACAATTAACAGGCAGTGACTCGTCTTCTCTTCATTAATTGAATACAGGGGAACTAATTACTTGTGGCATACTTACAAAAGTATATCATAAATACTTCTTCATAAACACACTTAATCATATAACACAATATCTGACATGTTAAAATTCCTTTATCACAGAAGCAGGACTGATGGGGTGGAATCCCATAATCTCCCTTATAAATTAAATGCATTGATGCTGAAACAACTTTTTTTCAATTGCTGAAATAACAATGTAACAAAGACAAATGGTATATCAATAACCACAGCTAATGTTGTAAATATAAAAACAATCTGTCAAACAGTTTTTTTCCATGTTTTTGTCACCTTTTAACTGACTTGATTGGTTTGTAATAACTATTGTTACTCTTTCAATAGAATCATCCAGAGAAGACACACAGCTTATACTTTATATAATAAGTATATAACCTGTCTCATATTCATGTGATGCATCTAAGCTATTGTCTATTTGATTTTTTTGTAGTAAAGGGAGATAACCAATTTTGAACCAAGTTATTTTGCCAAGTATAAATATTGCTCTGAACATCTCTAATTATGTACTGGTAGTTTATATTGAATCTGTTGGTCCATTTAGTAAAAGGCAAACCGAACTTCAGTGTACTTTGTATACAACCAAATACATATTCTGTAATATCTTCTTAAAGTCTGAAGAAAATTTGTAAATGCATGCTTACAAAACATGTTCTCACAATTAATGACTAGATAAACAAATGAAATAAAATCATAACTGCAAGGCATGGACAAAAAATGTGAAAAAATCATGTGACAAAATCAAAACAAAACTGTATGAAAACAACCAATTCAGTGTATGAGCTGCATCAGAAAGAGATCGACCTTATGCAAGTGCACAGATACATGTACATGTATGAGACTTTTGATTGATTTTGGAACATTCAAAAACGAAAAAAAAAAAAAATTTCTGTCTGTTTTCTAGGGTTCTTATATCAACTCAATTTTCAAACAGTTACAGACTTTGCATAGAGATTTTTTCAACCTGAAAAAGGTTAACAGATGTACTGATATTCATTTGCATACGGTCGATTTCTATCCGACGCAGCTTGTATGAAGAAAAACAAACTGTTCCACAAAATTTTGTTCTCTTATGTTATGATAATGTTGTAAATCACAAATGTGGAAGTTCTAGAGTATAAATGTTTGGAAGTCAGTCCATTATAAGGACACCTTATCAACAGGAACTGGTCTTATTAAGAATGCAGTCTTTAAATGATCACACATGATAATGTAAGCAATCAGCCATGTGACCTGTCAGGATAAGATGTGGCCCTCAAATATAGAAACTAGTATTAATATACATGTGTAAAATGCTGTCCAACTTTCATCATACAATGAAATTTTCCATGACTGGTTCATCATACATAATTCTGTCAAAACAAAATCTTGACAAGTCTATGGAAGTGTACTCATGATCATAGAACAGTTCCCCAATAGCCCTTCCTATAGCAACTGATTGTTGTACACCATGTCCACTCATTCCATTAGCAAACCAAAAATTTCTGAATTTTGGATGAGGTCCGATAATTAGATTCTGATCCACATAATTATAGTCATAATATCCAGCCCAGGCACTCTTTAACTGAAAAAATAGAACATATATAAACATTAGAGTAAATTATGCCAGCTTTGTTTTCATGTATACCATATAATATTGTTTCAGAAATAGTTCCGTCCTAAGAACAATAACATAAATGGTACCAATTTTTCTGCACCAGATGCGCATTTCGACAATAAAGGGTCTCTTCAGTGATGATCGGGGCTAAAACATTTGAAAATCCAAAGCTTATTAAAAAGATGAAGAGCTATAATCCAAAAAGGACAAAAAAGTATAGCCAAAGCCGGGGCAAGAATCAGAGCTTTGCATGAGGGAGATATATTCCTTAATTTAAAATAGTTTCTAAAATTTTGTAGCAGCAAATTTTAATAACAAAAAATCTGTATTTTCATGCCAGTACGGAAGTACTGGCTACTGGGCTGGTGATACCCTCGGGGACTAACAGTCTACCAGCAGAGGCATCCACCCGGTGGTAGTAATAACAATAGCGGTACCAATTTTTCTGCACCAGATGTGCATTTCGACAATAAATGTCTCTTCAGTGATGCTCAACAAACAGGAGTTACCGGTAATTTTATTTTTATTTTTTAAAGTTTGAAAAAGCACTGTCAATGATGACTGTAAGCCTGTAACTGCTCAGTATGGTGCTTTGTCCATTTAGGCTGCACAAAACTATACCCATCAGTATCCCTGGTACACAAAACTATACCCATCAGTATCCCTGGTACATAAAACTATACCCATCAGTAATATGGTACATAAAACTATACCCATCAGTATCCCTGGTACACAAAACTATACCCATCAGTATCCCTGGTACATAAAACTATACCCATCAGTATCCCTGGTACACAAAGCTATACCCATCAGTATCCCTGGTACATAAAACTATACCCATCAGTATCCCTGGTACACAAAACTATACCCATCAGTATCCCTGGTACACAAAACTATACCCATCAGTATCCCTGGTACACAAAACTATACCCATCAGTATCCCTGGTACACAAAACTATACCCATCAGTATCCCTGGTACATAAAACTATACCCATCAGTATCCCTGGTACACAAAGCTATACCCATCAGTATCCCTGGTACACAAAACTATAACCATCAGTATCCCTGGTACACAAAACTATACCCATCAGTATGCCTGGTACACAAAACTATACCCATCAGTATCCCTGGTACACAAAACTATACCCATCAGTATCCCTGGTACACAAAACTATACCCATCAGTATCCCTGGTACACAAAGCTATACTCATCAGTATCCCTGGTACACAAGTTAAAAGAAATTGACCTAAAAATCATTAGAGTTCATATGTTTTCACTGGATCTCTTTAATTTGGAATATTTGTTTGTACAAATTTGTAAGAAATGGTTTATGGCGGGAAACAAGAATACCTTTATATGAAATAAATCAAGTTTGTGCCTTCTTTTTCCCTATACAATCAAGGGTTTGACATGACCATATACCTATAATAAATCAAAATAGTGGAAAAATCTGTGCTGCTCATGTTTTACAAATAAACTAGACAGCCCATGTCTTAAGTCAATGTGTTATGTAACTGTTGACAGGATGAACATATTCAAGGTAATCAAGTGTATAAATATTTTCACAAATTTGAAAAATCACTATGATAATTTTAAGGACTTACCTTAATTTTCTCAAACTGTGGATATCTATATGCTAATTTTGGCCAAACTTTTTCTTCAAAGAAATTGTAATCTACATCCAAGTTACTAATATCAGGTTCTTTATCCTGCAACCAGATACAAAAGACCAGTGAAAGTCAAATTTACTATAAAAACAACATATTTCCAGTCTGCTAATAGTTCATAAAAACAAGTATTTCTCTTTAATATATTTGCTACAAAAGAAACAATTTCAAATATTAAATATATTCACAACTAATCTAAACTCATGGCTTTTACATTAAAACATCCACGGTACCTAGGGAAGGCACTTTGAAAATGGAGCAACCATCTATGGCAGCAATTTAAGAATTTCAATTACATTTTCCTTGTACAAAATAATCTTTAAAACCCATCCATAGTTAAAAATTTGAAGTGCTTCCCCTGTATATCAATTATGTTTTTTTTTCTTGAACAGATCTCAGAATGAATAAAATCTTGATATATGGTGTTAGACACTAGTATATATGAAGAAAAAAAATAATATTGACCCAAAGATAACTCATTTCCTCCTTTGGTTTATACAATAAATACAAAATAAATCTATGTTAAGAAAAAGAAATGTTTTAATATTTGTTTTAAGAGGCAGTATCCAGATTTCAAGAATATATAATACATTTTGTACATTAAATACAAATGAAAGCTTTTTTTGTGCAAATCTTACTGTTCTTGTTGCGATAATTTTACTAATTATCAAGAAGTTGATTTTTTATTGGTGCAACAAAATCTCATATGAAAACTTGTCCAATATTCATATAACCCTGGATTAATCTTATTTACACAGAAGTCTTGTCATTTATCAACAAAAAGTTCAGATTTTGACAATTAAACCAGTAGAAATAAAAGATAGTACAGCATTCATATTGCCATACAAAAGCAGTGATAAGGTATCAATTTAATGACAGAATTAGAGGCTCTATAGAGTCTGTGTCGTTCACTTGCATCTTCAACAATGGCCACTTTTTTAGTAAAAATCATCATCAAAGGGGGATAACTCTATTAAGAGTTAACTGACAATTTCAGTCATGTTGACATGTTTGTAGAAATAATTTCTTTTTAAAGTTTCTATCGATCTATTATAGTTTTCATGATAATAGGCAAAAAATGCAAAAAAATGTTAAAAATTATCTTTAAGGGCAATAACTCAAATTAAGAGTCGACTGAAGATTTTGGCCATACGGATTATTTGTAGATCTTGTCTTGCTGATCATTTGTGCTATTAAAAGTTTCTATCTATCTATTACAGTTTTCAATATAATAGGCAACAAGAGTGCACACGCTGAAATGTCTCGCCTTCTTTACTAATCATTGATATTATGTTGATAGTCCTAAATATAAAGCTTTATTACAACTATCACATAAACTTAACATTAACCAAGTAAACTAAACATTGACCAATGAACCATGAAAATGAGGTCAAGGTCAGATGAACCATGCTAGGCAGGCATGTACAGCTAACAATTCTTCCATACAACAAATATAGTTGACCTATTGCTTATAGTTTAAGAAAAACAGACCAAAACACAATAACTTAACACTGAGCAATGAACCTTGAAAATGAGGTCAAGGTCAAAAAAACCTGTGTGACTGACATATAGATCATAAAATATTTCCATACACCAAATATAGTTGAACTATTGCATATAGTATTAGAAAAAAAGACCAAAACTCAAAAACTTAACTTTGACCACTGAACCATGAAAATGAGGTCAAGGTCAGATGACACCTGCCCGCTAGACATGTACACCTTACAATCATTCCATACACCAAATATAGTAGACCTATTGAATTCAGTATAAGAAAAAACAGACCAAAACACAAAAACTTAACTATAACCACTGAACCATGAAAATGAGGTCAAGGTCAAATAAAACCTGCATGACTGACATATAGATCATAAAATATTTCCATACACCAAATATAGTTGAACTATTGCATATAGTATTAGAAAAAAAGACCAAAACTCAAAAACTTAACTTTAACCACTGAACCATGAATATGAGGTCAAGGTCAGATGACACCTGCCAGTTGGACATGTACACCTTACAGTCCTTCCATACACCAAATATACTAGACCTATAGCTTATAGTATCTGAGATATGGACTTGACCACCAAAACTTAACCTTCTTCACTGATCCATGAAATGAGTTCGAGGTCAAGTGAAAACTGTCTGACGGGCATGAGGACCTTGCAAGGTACGCACATACCAAATATAGTTATCCTATTACTTATAATAAGAGAGAATTTAACATTACAAAAAATCTTAACTTTTTTTTTCAAGTAGTCACTGAACCATGAAAATGAGGTCAAGGACATTTTTTGAAGATCTTGTCTTAAGCTTGCTGATCATTTTTGCTTTCTATAGTTTCTATCTATTATAGTTTTTAAGATATTAGGCAAAAATGGGAAAAAAAATGGTACAAATCGTCATTAAAGGACAATAACTCTAATAAGTACATGTAGTCAACAGAAGATTTCAGCTATGTTGACTTATTTGTAGATCATGTCGTGCTGATCATTTTTGCTTTCTGATAATTCTATCTTTCTATTATAGTTTTTATGATATAAGGCTACAACGCAAAAATTGGTAAAAATCGTCATTAAAAGGCAATAACTCCAATAAGGATTCATCTGACAATTTTGGTCATGTTGGCTTATTTGTAGATTTACTCTTGCTGATCATTTTTGCTTTTTAAAGTTTCTATCTATTATAATTTTCGAGATAAAAGGCAAACAAAATTTAAAATGGTAAAATTTATCATTTAAGGGCAATAACTCCTATAAGAAGTTGTCTGACAGCTTTGACGTAAATACACAATAGGAAGAGCTCAACATTTTGATCATTTAAGTGCAAGTCAGATTTTCTCTTTTCATAGCGGTTTTCCAAATAATAGGCAAAACTTGCATTTTACCACTATGTTCTATTTTAAACCATGTCTGCCATCTTGGTTGACAGGCAAGGTCATAGAACACATTTTTTAAACAAGATACCCTAATAATGATTGTGGCCAAGTTTGGTTAAATTTGGCCTAGAGAAGACTTTTGTAAAATTTAACAGAAGACGACGATGGACAGACGACGAATGACAGACGACGTAATTTCAGCAAAAATCAATGGAGTGGAACCAAACGTAAACTTCAACTATAACTCATCATTGCAGACTCACATACTAAAAATCAGCTCAATATGGGAAGGCATTTTGAAAATAAGTCGGTATAACTGTTATTTCACAAAATTATCAAAATCCAAAGCCAGTTATTTTGGCAAAAATCAATGAAGGGGAAACAACATAAACTCGATCTGTAATTCATCATGGTAGACTCACATACTAAAAATTCGTAAGGGTTCCGCGGAACCCAGTGTCTCGCCTACTTTTTCTGTTAATCGCAGGCTCAACAAAAATGAGGAAGTAAATCAATAAAAATATTCCTCTTGATACTATCTTTTGATTGTAAGAACTTTCTGTCCAAGTTTGGTAAAAATCCAGGATAGTGTATGAATCTAATAAATGTTTAAAAACTTTATCTGCAGACTGAATGTAATGTTAACTTGAAGAAAACAAAATTTCCTTCTAGATACTAGCATTTGATCATAAACAAGCTTCTGTTAAAGTTTGGTGCAAATCCAAAATAGTATAAGAAAGTTATTAAAATTTAAAAAACTTTAACCACAGAGTGAATGTGTTGTTTCCTGACAGGAAATCTAAGTCCATTTAAAAGTAAAATACGGAAAAAATGGATTTATTATTTTACAAAATTTCCTTCTAGATACTAGCTTTTGATCATAAACAAGCTTCTGTCCAAGTTTGGTACAAATCCAAAATAGTATAAGAAAGTTATTAAAATTTTAAAAACTTTAACCACAGAGTGAATGTGTTGTTTCCTGGCAGAAAATCTAAGTCCATTTAAAAGTAAAATACGGAAAAAATGGATTTATTATTTTACAAAATTTCCTTCTGGATACTATCTTATGATCATAAACAAGCTTCTGTCCAAGTTTGGTAGAAACCCAGGATAGTTTAAGAAAGTTATTAAAATTTTAAAAACTTTAACCACAGAGTGAATGTAATATTTCCCGGCAGAAAAACTAAGTCCATTTATAAGTAAAATACGGAAAAAATGGAATTTTATTTTTACAAAATTTACTTCTGGATACTATCTTATGATCATAAACAAGCTTCTGTCCAAGTTTGGTAGAAATCCAAAGTAGTTTAAGAAAGTTATTAAAATTTCAAAAACTTTAACCACAGAGTGAATATTTGTGGACGCCGCCGCCGCCGACGACGACGACGACGCCGACGCCGACGGAATGTAGGATCGCTATGTCTCGCTTTTTCGACTAAAGTCGAAAGCTCGACAAAAATCAGCTCAACATGTGAAGGTGTTTAGAAAAAAGTTAGTATAACTGTTATTTTCACAAAATTTTTCAAAGTCCAAAACCTGTAATTTTGGCAAAATTCAATGGAGCGTAACCAAATGTGAACTCGGTCTGTAACTCATCATAGACGACTCACATACTCAAAAAGGCGTTTAGAAAAAAGTCTGTATTACTGTTTGTTGAGGAAGGACAGATTAGGGTAAAACTATATTGCCTCAACCACTTTGTGGCGGGGCCATAAAAATACAAAACCTCAATTATCTGAATTGTAATAAACTAGACATCATTGAGATGGGAGCCATCTCTCTGGGCCCCACTGACCTTGAACTTTGACCTAGGAAGTTGTACAAACATTATGACACACCCTCTGGTGTTGGTTAATATACATGTCAAGTATAAAGTATGAAATTATAATGGTTCTCTAGATATAGAGCGGACACAATTTGTTACAGACATACAGCAGACTGATCACTATAAGGCGACCCGCCACTAGGCGGGGCCCTAATAACAGTTACCATATATTTTTAAAGAAAAAGTAAGCAAAATAGAAGTAACAAGCATAAAATGAAAAAAGTATTACAGAGGGTCTCATATATCCAAGAAATTAGCTTCTGATGAGGACCTGTGTACACATTCTGTCTCTAAAAAACAAAAAAAAGTTAAATCGAAAATGTCTGCATGCAATGAAACATTTGAAAAGATCACAAATGACCTAATAATAATGCAATGTATTTTCCATTAGTCCTTTCATTTCTAAATTTTTTTTAATTAAAAAATATCAAAATAAAACAATAACAGAAATATCTTAAATAGGAATTCAAATTAACAAAGGAATTTTCATCAAAAACAGCTTTCGAAGAATTATTTGACACTCTGTAAGCCAAAATTTTAAGAATAACATAAATACTTGCAATTGGTGTATCTCTCTTAACATGATAATCGTATGATTAAATAATATTGCATTGCTAACTAATTTCTAATGCTGTTGCAAGAAACAATATTAAACTACATCAGAAACTATTCATCTCTTAACCAGTTTTCTTGCAAGTGGTCAATTCTGTATAGACTGTTTCAAAATTAAAAAAAAAACTGATAAAACATAGGGACAGAATTTACAAAAAAAATTAAAACAACACGTTATAAATTTCATGTGTTCAAGGCGCTTTTCTGAATTAACCTTCATCAGGAAGTTAAGTAGCTATAGAGTCAATTCAACAAGTAGTTACCTTATCAAAATCTAAATAAAATAGTAGTTGACAACTTGAAAAAATTGGCTTACAGATGAAGTGATTCTGGTTTAACATTTCATAGCACATGTATGTATTACAATAGGCCTTAACCATAAATACAGGCAAATTGTGTAAAAAATATTAAAGAACTGGGACATTTGAACTGTGAGTTACCTCTGACTGGTCATTGAGAACCTAGAAAAATTCAACAATTTGTTACATTTGTTAATCTTGTGTTTTATCTACCTGTATTATAAATTCATTAAGCAATTATAAATGTCATTACTTATGGAGTACTTTTGTTGCATATTTTTAGATATTTTGTACAAGTCCAAAACATTCAAAACATTCATAAAAATTTGTCCATCAATGACAACTTTATAAATATATCATAAAGAAAAAGCAATTAAACTTTGAGATTACTATCATTGCAAGAGATTTAATTTAAAAAAAAATAAACATTGAAATTTCAACTTCAGGGTTTAAATTTCCCTGAAATTAGCACTTAACAGACTTTTATTCATTTAAAATATTTAATTTTCTTTACTTCATTGTCATATAATGCACTTTTTTCACTATATTCATGACATTGAGATATTGAAATAAGCTGTAAATTTCATATCTAATTTCAGAAGTCAAACTTCTAGAATAAAAAATATTTATTATTAATATAAGCTTGTTTAGATAACTCTGGGGATTATGCCTTTGTTTGCCTTCAATTGCTGGTACATGGTATTACAAACATTGTAAAATGGTTCCTAATCATGTGTAGATTTTTAATATGATCTTTGATTAACATGGTTAAGGTACTACCTTTTGTACAAAAAATAGTGTTTAATTTGCATGGGAATGTGCCAGTAGAGTTTCTTAGCAATGTCAACAAAACTTTATTTCATGTATTCTCATGCTGAAAAGCCACTCTTTACTGTGTTCAAAGCAAATACAATCATTCAAACCTTAAAATCATTTTACATTCAATGTTTAACCCTGCTGAATTCTTTATGTGATCGTCTGAAGCTAGGAACCTGTACTCAAGTGGTTGTCTTTCTTTGTCTGTGATATTTGTTTTTTGTTATTGTTGTAGTTTAATTCAAGCCGTTATCACTCTCTTTTGAAATGTTTAATATTTTTTCATAACAAGACCTTTTCTAGCTTACTCATTGTTAAAGGCCATACAGTGATCTGTAATTGTTAACATCCCTGTCCTTTGATCTTTAGGGATAGTTTATCTCATTGGCATCAATACCACATCTCATTATTATTTTTGTTAAATCACTTTTTCATATATAAGTTTTTTATTTGTATTTAATATTCATATTGTCCCTTGTGTACTTTAAAAATATAGTGTACAGTACACTTAAGATGTAACTTAGGAGGTTGTTAAAATTCACACTTGATGTTGAATTTTCACAGTAGAAGCTGGTTATTTTGAATGATTCACTCTGAAATATCTCTCTAGTTAACTTATCAATAACATTAAATTTAGACTAAAAAACTAGAATTTTAAAATTCAATATAATATCAACATAAAAAAAGTACAAAAAGAACCATCCAGCTTTTTTGTTCATATCCATTTAAACTTTCAAAAAGGGCCAGACTAATAGAAATTATTCTTATAATTACCTCTTCAGGGGACAAACCACATATATAACATCCACCTAGCCCTTCTCTTCTGAAATAAACTCCATTTGTATCTACAGTCAAAGGTGCTTCTAAGCCTGGACCATTTGGACAGTGAATTACATATACAAATCTCTTTCTATAAATAAAGTTTTTGAATTAGAAGTCTTCGACTTAATGATAGAAAAGTTTTATAGCATGCCAAACCACTGAAAAAACACATGTACATTATATACTCTACAATACAATCAATGTGCACTTATTTTAAATAATAAAATTTAAAAAGTTATTACATACGAAAGAGCAACAAAAAATCATTAGGTGAAGGACTGACAAAAAATGACAAGAAAAAATATGAAAAACACACAACACTAAATAACTGAGCTAAACAAACCCCTTAAAAGTCCTTGATTGAACTTAGGTCCTACAGAAGGGGAAAATAGATCCAATTTCAATAGTGGCACCCATCTTGCTCATACAACAAAAATACAATATTAACCTTGGTTCCACGGGTAGAGGAATTGAGAAGACATCTTTCCCTGGTCCAATACCTGCCATTTCGGCTATCTCTCCAGCCCATGCTCCAGCACAGTTTATGACCAATGAAAAATGCATCTGATGAAGATTTCCCTCCTCGTCTTTTATCTAGATCAATAAATAAATATATAAGACTTACAAACACAATTTTTTTGAGACATACTAATTTCAAATGGTACTGGGTGAGTCAACACTGTAGGCTGTCTTGACTCTTTTAAAGGTTAGACTGTCTTGGTTCATCTCTAAAGGCCTAAAAGCAACTTTCAAGATGTAGAACAGCAACAACATAACATTTCATTTGATATATTGGCTTTTTTCTAATGGTTCATGAAGGTTTTATTTCTGAATGACATCCACACAATATCCTCTTCTTTCATATGTATTTTGTACCTTTTTTTACACATATTTAGGGTCAACTTAAAAATATCTGCCATGGTAACCACTATTCTTTGACTAATAATGCAATCACTTTTTTCTAGTGTTTACTTTTATGAATAATTTAGTTTTGCCAAACAGGCAACACATGCTCTGTCTTCATTAAGTATCTTAAGAAGGAAATGAAAAAGTCTTTCCAAGTGGTACAATTTGAGCCTAGATAAAGTCAAAGAGAGAAAATTGATATAAAGGCTATGAATCATCACCAGATGCTGTTAATTGTGTGTTTTGGCATCACCAATTTTATTTGTATAATTTAAGCCTACTTATATAGCAGTGTCATTACTGTAAATTCAGAAATTATTGCGATGTTTTTATTAATGAAAAAAATGTGACAGTATTAGGTTTACAATAATAAAAACTTGCATTCGTGATTTTAGCAGTGATTTTCCTTCATCAAATTTTTGCAATGCAGAAATTAGATTTCCCATTTTTGACAGTGGTAAATAATTTACAATAATAAATGCACACATTAAATTCTCAATTTACAGTATATGATTTCACCAGAGAAGTCCATTGTCAGATGCAGATCACCAATTTATATATAATATAACACATTTAGTCCAATACCTACATCAATATTATTGAGAGTTTGGAAATCAGTTGAGGATCCAATATGACTGCCTGGATTATTGGTCTGTTGAAAGCCAACAACTTCCCCTTTCACATAGGTAACCTCATTGTTGACATTCTTTTGCCTGAATGCTTTCAATAGCAGCCATGGATCAAACCAACCCTCTCCCTGTGTTCCTACAAATATTTATGTACATGTATGTATGAATATAATGTTGGAAACACAATTTCAATAGAAGAACAGAGTTCAAATGTCCCCTGCATTGCACATATTTTATCTATCCAAGGGCAATTACTAAAAAAAACACTTTTTGTTCTTTAAAACAATTTATAAATATCTTAGAGAAATGAAGGCTTCAGAGCAAATGCAATGCGATTTCCGTTAAAATTAATTTTTCCAAGGGGCCGAACTAGTTAAAAATATTTGATCAGCACTTATTTTCTAAAGTGTCAAAGACATTGCTGATATAAACCTATGATATAAGTTTCATAATATTCTGGCAAGAATTGTACACATGAGAGCATTAACAATGCAATTTTCCATATAATCAATATTTCCAAGGGACATAACTCTTTTAAAAATAATTGATCAGCACTGATTTTCAACCTTGTCCAAGACATTGCTAATATAAACCTATGATATAAGTTTCATAAAAATCTGTCTAGAATTGTACACATGAGAGCACAAATGATGCAATTTTCCATATAATTAATGTTTCCAAAGGGCATAACTCTTTTAGAAATTATTGATTGGCACTGATTTTTCGAACTCGTCCAAGACATTGCTGATATATTAACCTATGATATAAGTTTCATAAAAATCTGGCAAGAACTGTACATGTGAGACGCCCGGTATTTCTATGTCCCCCGCAACGCGTTCGCGGGGGACAACAAGATAAATATCCAGCAAGTAACTTTGTTTTAACATTTCTAGGCCACTTCTTTTGAAAAAAACAACACTGCTTGGATCTAGATTGACAATATAAGACTTCAATGATCCACACAATGTATGATGTTTGCATCTATGCCTGTATATTCTTTGCTGACTAAAACACTAAATAAAACTTAAACAAATTTTTCAAATATTTTTAAAACTTTTATGATTACCATCGCAACTTCAGTCAGCAGTAAACATAGTAAAAAAATATTTCCAAAAATACTAGTATAAAGAGATATAAGAAGATGTGGTATGAGTGCCAATGAGACAACTCTCCATCCAAGTCAAAATTTATAAAAGTAAACCATTATAGGTCAAAGTACGGTCTTCAACATGGAGCCTTGGCTCACACCGAACAGCAAGCTATAAAGGGCCCCAAAAATTACTAGTGTAAAACCATTCAAACGGGAAAACCAACGGTCTAATCTATATAATCAAAGCGCGAAAGCGCTGTAAAGGCAGTTAATTACAGGTTGTGTGTATTTTTAGTCCAGTTATATCATTATCTTGCATAGTACATTGTACTTATCAGAGGTGGCTTTCAGTATTTAAGATTTAGAGTTCTCTAATGATATTGAACAAGTTTTATGAATGTCATATTCTGAGCACTATATGAAGGCGATTGTTCTCACTTGTTTATGAACTAGTGCATTATGTCCAGTTTGTACCTTTTTTATCTATGTTAATAGTCAAATACTGTTTAAAATAGTTTGGCATTTTCTTTTTAGTAATAAATAAATGTTATCAACTGTATTTTATTCAACTTTGCAAATGTGGTTTGTTACTGGTAAGTACAATGTATGGATGATAGTTGTTTCATTGGCAATCATAACACATCGCCTTATTTATATAATGATCTATATTCAACGACCTCAGGTACAAAAAAAATGTATGTAACTAAACTATGATGGGAAACCTTTGACTTCTTTCTTTTATATAAACTTTTGATTTGGTACCATAGAACTATGTAGAATAAATGTACATTGCAACATGTCAACTCTTTCAATGACAATACTTTTTTTAGAAACTATAACTCCAAGCAAAATTATATTTCCAAGTATAAAGTAATTTATGAATGAAACAAGAGTGCACACGCTGAAATGTCTCGCCTTCTTTACTAATCATTGATATTATGTTGATAGTCCTAAATATAAAGCTTTATTACAACTGTCACATAAACTTAACATTAACCAAGTAAACTAAACATTGACCAATGAACTAAGAAAAATGAGGTCAAGGTCAAGGTCAGATGAACCATGCTAGGCAGGCATGTACAGCTAACAATTCTTCCATACAACAAATATAGTTGACCTATTGCTTATAGTTTAAGAAAAACAGACCAAAACACAAAAACTTAAAACTGAGCAATGAACCTTGAAAATGAGGTCAAGGTAAAAAAAAACCTGCGTGACTGACAAATAGATCATAAAATATTTCCATACACCAAATATAGTTGAACTATTGCATATAGTATTAGAAAAAAGACCAAAACTCAAAAACTTAACTTTGACCACTGAACCATGAAAATGAGGTCAAGGTCAGATGACACCTGCCAGCTAGACATGAACACCTTACAATCATTCCATACATCAAATATAGTAGACCTATTGCATACAGTATAAAAAAAACCAGACCAAAACACAAAAACTTAACTATAACCACTGAACCATGAAAATGAGGTCAAGGTCAGATGACACCTGCCAGTTGGACATGTACACCTTGCAGTCCTTCCATACACTGAATATACTAGACCTATTGCTTATAGTATCTGAGATATGGACTTGACCACCAATACTTAACCTTGTTCACTGATCCATGAAATGAGGTCGAGGTCAAGTGAAAACTGTCTGACGGGCATGAGGGCCTTGCAAGGTACGCACTTACCAAATATAGTTATCCTATTACTTATAATAAGAGAGAATTTAACATTACAAAAAATCTTAACTTTTTTTTCAAGTAGTCACTGAACCATGAAAATGAGGTCAAGGACATTGGACATGTGACTGACGGAAACTTCGTAACATGAGGCATCCATATACAAAGTATGAAGCATCCAGACCTTCCACCTTCTAAAATATAAAGCTTTTAAGAAGTTAGCTAACGCCGCCAACGGATCACTATCCCTATGTCGAGCTTTCTGCGACAAAAGTCGCAGGCTCGACAAAAAGGAGTTCTTTATTAAGAAATAAACTGATTCGCTGAGCGCAGCTGGATACACCCGCAGAGGTCCAACCCTGAACAGTTGGGGCAAAAATGGACACAATATTCAAGCTTGATACAGGTCTGAATTTGGATTGTAATTAAATATTTGACATATTATAGTTTCTGAATAAATGTAGTCAAAGAACTTGAAATCGGTTATATGAATTGAATTTATATTCAATTAAAGATTTCTTGCTGTTGTGCAATACACTGTGCTGTTGCGCAATACTTAATAAATCTGTTGCCAGACTATAAACAAATAAAGTTCAATTTCTTCTCAATGTCATATTTGAAATTTATGAAAATCAATAGGGAGATTACATCAATAGCTATAAAGAATTCACCAAAGTTTTATGCGAACTGCTTAAAGCATTTTTGAGTTGTTGTCCAAAAACTGGAAAATTCCCCCTCTTTTAATGAATAAAACCCCATAACTCAGAAATGTAAAATTAAAATTTATAAAATTCTAAAGGGAGCTTACGGATTGATAATTTAGTCTTCGATGCAAGATTTTTTTATCAGTTGTTAGTGGCTTTGAACTAGCTGTCAGTAAATGCGAGTACTCTCAGATCTGTACTTAGTGTCTTTTTGTTGTTTGGATGTACAACTACCCAGCCACGTCCACTTGTATTTGTATTTATCCATCTGATGAGTTAAGCCTCTTTCAACTGATTATTATAGTTCGTTCTTATGTTGTACTGTTACACCACTGTTCCAGGTTAGGGGGTGGGTTGGGATCCCGCTAACATGTTTAACCCCGCCACATTCTGTATGTACATGTATGTGCCTGTCCCAAGTCAGGAGCCTGTAATTCAGTGGTTGTGGTTTGTTTATGTGTTGCATATTTGTTATTCGTTTATTTTTTGTACATAAATTAGGCCGTTAGTTTTCTTGTTTGAATTGTTTTACATTGTCATTTCGGGGCCTTTTATATGGCCATGTCATGTTGACACAATACAAGTTCTAAAATTACACAACATAAAACAACTAAATGTTATTTCAGATGAAAGTTTTGTTTCAGTTCCATTCATAGGATTTATTAGAATTTTGTATGTTTTGCCAAGTCCAATAATTAGCTCTATGTGCACGTGTTAATTGGAGACTTTTCTATCCCGTATATGAGTTTTGGAACTAATTCTGTTTCTTTTTTTGAAAAAAGTGAGCAAACCAATCTTGTACATTTAAACCTTTGTCTGCCATCACACTGTCACCTGGATCACATAATTGAACTATTCTACATCTTTCAACTATTTCACAGTCACTGGTACATTTTGTACAACCAACATATGCATTAGAGACATAGATGACTAAACCACCAGGTGTCGAACATACAAGTATTTTCAGTGTTTCTGTTTTTATATGATGAAAAGGTTGCCTGAGCTCTAGGAGCTTTAGGTTTTATCACGGGATATTCTGTGCTGTCAATAATAATCCAAGTTGTAGGAAACTTTAATTTGAAGTTGGATGGCGAAAAATACCTGACTTAACCACTAAATGGCCAAGTGTTAGCCTCACGCCACTGTTTAAAAATAAAAACAATCCATGTTTACACAACATTCTAAACACTAGTTTCAATCTAGAATCTGAACAGTTCAAAGTTGGTTGTATAATGCCTCAATTTCATCAAAGACATAAAAAAACTGATTTTCAAATGACACCCTATCAATTTGAAAATATATGTATCTCAAACAATGTGCTGCTGGACCAAGTGTGGTCAAAACAAATAAAAATTTAGTATACAACTCTAAACCGGTATAAAAATGCATGGCTGTGTCACATGTCTTCATTTCAAAATTATCTGCTGAAAATATAGGCATTGATGGTGTTTGCGTAATTCCATCTGTGAAGCTCAACATTAGCTCGACAGTTGGTGGTGGACAGTCATAAATCCTGTCTGCAGTATGAATGACTTCTTCAGGAAAACCAACTTTACAATCAAAACTTTCCTCTAAATTTCTACTACAATATTCATCAAGTTTAGTTTTAACCTTGATTTGATATTTTGTCATACATATGATAATATATATTTATCTATCTGATGTAATATCATGTTAATGTGGGGGAAGACATCATTATACTTTGTATTGATTTTCCTGATTTAATAAAAACTTGAAACTAAGTTCTTTTGTTTTCACAGGAAACTGCCCTGATTTTTCTTTTTGCGGATGATTCAGTCTCTTGCTTGGTCCAGGAAAATAGGCTGGGAATGGCAGTAGAATTAAGTCTCTGTATGGTGGGTTTGCGCCCTGAAAAAGGTTATAAAACATTAGTTTTTTGATAATTAAATGAACTTCCATTAGCAATGCATACTTTGTACTACCTGGCAAAATATTAACTATATTTATTCATTACAATCTGGATAAAACTATGTTAGCCTGATTCAATGTACATCAAAATGTATCTTATGTAAATCCAAAGGACAAACAATGAGAGACTTATGCAACAAACGTACATTGTTTGTACCTAAATAACTATAATATAGATGAGAGCATGTCATTGTTTTGTTCCTGTTAACATTGTCATTGATATTTTTCAAGAAAGTCTATGAGGCATAGCTTATGCATTCCTGTCATTATTACATTAGCATAATTACTGCTAAAATAATTCTCAGTATGATATACCTCTTGTAAGAAATCATTATAATTGTAGCAAGCACCAAAAAATCTCAAACAGATCACATTGAATCGTAATCCAAAAAATTATGACGTCTTGAATTAACCACCCCCTTTTATTCTAAAACGATAATTGCGGTTGTAAACAGACTTTGGTTTATTCGCATGGCGATTACATATATAACTATATATTTTAAAAAGAAAAGTTTTACCATGAATAGTTTCCTGCACGTAGTCTTTTTCAGTAAAATGTGCCTTGCAAACAACAGCTGATTGAGATGGACTCCACGATTTCATCGTGCGTATGGGCCATGGCGTTGATCCAACTTTTCCTCATTTTTAAGTCATTTGGAAATGCATGTCCTCCTCTTAAATGACATCCAGGTACACAACAACAAGTACTTGGCATCGTTAATTAAAAATGCATCTGTATAGTTGCACAGTGCAGAAACCGGAAGTTTAAGAACAGGATCGGCTACCACGGCGCCACCTATTCAGGAACGATAATTTGCTACTTTATATAACTGCGAAATAACAATCAATAACGTTAGATGGGTTCACGTGCATAAACAGAAATGCGCCTTAAATTGTATAAAATAAATCATGTTCAGTCGACCTTTAATTATTATATCAACGACTGAAATGATTTATAAACATCTAGATTGCAGATAACACTCGAAATTAACCCAACCTCTTTCCACACGGAATTCAAATAATTCTAGTTTGTCAATCGGTTGACTGCTTATAATGCAAAATACAAATATATCAAAAGTTTTTAAAACTAACAAAACACAATGATCGTTTCTCTATTTCCCAATGTAAATGAAATGAAAAAAAAAACATTTTATATCACAATAAGAAGAGGAGAGAATCAACATTTTCCAGATCTACTTGGAGCCTAATGACCCCCCACGTAGATAAGTTGGATATCGCGGAAAGAAAGATCAACACGGCAACTAGAAAGGCATTAAAGCACTGCCTTTAAAAAATGAGAAATGAGAAACACTTATGAACCACATCAACAAAGGACAACTACTGAACATAAGATTCCATAAACCTTTTTTTTGACACATTGTTTGGTTTGTCCAAATTATTATTACTTACACAATCTATTAAAAAAAATTTGGGCATTTTAAGACTATTATTTCACATTAGGATATTATTGAAAGGAGTAAATATTTGACAAAAGAGTAAGTGAGATTTTAAGGGTCCTGTTTTGCCCCAAATATTAGGTAAATAATTTCAAGATGAAAAGTGTTTCAAGCTGATGCATAAACATGTTCTCTTTTAATAATATTTGATCAGCGCTGATTTTCGATTTGTCTAAGACATTGCTGATATAAACCTATGATATAACTTTCATAAAAATTTGGCAAGAATTGTAAACGACTCTTTTGAAAATATTTGATCAGCTCTGATTTTCAAATTTGTCCAAGAGATTGCTGATAAAAACTGATGATATAACTTTCATAAAAATTAGACAAGAATTGTACACATGAGAGCGCTAACAATGCAATTTTCCATATAATTAATATTTCCAAGGGGCATAACTCTTTGAAAATAGCTGATCTGCACTGATTTTTAAACTTGTCTGAAACAATAATCATATAAACCTATGTTTTATGAACAATACTGGTCAGACAGACGCACAGAAAGACGCCTGATAATTCAATGTCCCCCGCAACGCATCAGGCTGGGGACAATAAACAATACATACCATATGATGCCATTTCTATACCCTCTAAGTTTACCCATGGAAATTTTTGTGATATTTTCTCTCTTGACATCAGTTCTATTTTAGCACCTAATTCTCTGTAACAGAACAAATAATATTCATCTATACTTATATTTATTGAATAAATGAAATTGTATATACTGTAAAGCCTCAATCAGTAATTCACGTATATTGAAATAATATGTCTATTGAATCTAAATATCACATCTCAATGATCATTTTTTTTTTAATTTACTTCAATGACAAAACAAAACCACTATAAAAGCTGTTAAAAAAAATTGAAACATTTAAAACGAATGTTTACCGACATTACCTGAAAGAGGCAGCACTTTACTATTAATATCAATGACAGTTTTTGGTAGTTTTGCATTAAATGCAAAAAAGTTTAAAGTCTAAAAGAAATTTCTAGAACAAAAATTACAAAATAATACTGATATTTTGAGGACTAATGTCTTTCAAACACTTGAAGGATGTCATTTGATAGATATGTAATCAGTTTTGTTTTAAATGAAAGGGGCAAAAAAAGTGTGCTTATCTACATAGCCTTTTTGAATTTTATCAAAATTCAAAAATTGAAACTCCCCAAAACAAAGTCAAACAAGAAGAATTTGGTTCTGTCTAAGTACTTTTTGGTTTTGCTTTCATGTGTACGGTATGCCTCCAAACAAACAAACAAACAAAAAAAACCTAAACAGTTTATTAAGGAGGGACACCCCTATTTCTTTGCATCATGGCTATCTATGTTAAATTCTTCAATTTCAAGCATTCACAGCTCTTTTGTGTTAAGTTTAAATAAAGTGACCGCCATTTCATATAAAAGCACTACCTTAGCTTGTATTGTGATGACAAAAATCAACATAATTTTCATTGCATATAAGAGCATACTGGTTCCCGGAACTTAGGAAGTACCAAAACAGGTACTTTAGGTCTGAGAAACAGGCAAAATGTATCCTTCTTTTTAAATTTCGTGTATTTTTTTTTATTATTCTAAATTAACAGTCAAAAAATGTTCTACAATGCTTAACAGTCAAAAAGTGTTCTACAATGATTAACAGTCAAAAAGTGTTCTACAATGATCACCAGTCATTCAGCTTTCATTTGATACCAAAACTACCAAAATATTCTACATATTACACCTATGTATAGGTACTATTTGTCTTGAATATGTACTAGTTTCTGGTATGTTCTTTCTGACTGGGCCTGCATTGTTGGTGTTAATCCTGAAGTATCACAAGTTTCAGATTAGAGACATATATATAAACCTATACATGCTATAAACATGATAAACATGATAAAACTTTGATAAATGTAAGTGAAAAAATAATAGACCATTTACCTCTGTAATTTGACACATGTTTCCAGATTTTCTGCTTGTTCTTTATTAGCAAGGAACATATAACCCTGGTGATGAAACTGGACATCAGGAGGTTCATGGTCTAGAATAGAAAACAAAATCTATGAACAAATAACCTTGATGATTTACTGCTATCAGAACACCAGCAAAATCTAGTTAAAGGTATCATACCAAATTTCTATTTTTTGGTATGCTATTGGATTTTAAAAAAAAATCTAAAACTAAATCACAAACAACACTTTCAAGTAAAATAAATAAATAAAATAAAACAGAATTTTTTTTTAATCTCATTTGCTTTCAGAAAATACTAAAAAAAGTAGTATTTACTGCTAGCAATAATTGTTTTATCATAATAAAATGTTGACACAGAGATGTGTCTTGTCTGTATTTATTTTTGATAGTAAAATGCAAATGTTGAAATCAAAGACCAATACTTTTACATGTAAAATATGCAAAATAATCAAGCCAAATAATCTCAATGGAAGTCAGATGTGTCAATACTAAAACAACTGCATACCAAATATCATTGATTTACCCTTAGTGATTCTCCTTAATCTAACCTAATCACAAACTTAAACAAATTGTTGATGCCGCCACCACCAATGCCAGAAACAGCAGCTTGAAACAGGTCTTGCTTATTAACGAGACAAAAAGTACAAATGTTCATATCTTGTATATATGATTAAAGATTATTTATCTTAATGTCATAATTAACATTTTGTATTTTACATGTAGATTGTCATATGTAGGAGCAACGTGAATACATGTATCACCAGGTTTCAGTTAATTACTTTCCCTTGACATTCAACAATGTGCTGTGCAGGAATTGTAAAATTGAGAATGGAAATGGGGAATGTGTCAAAGACAACCCGACCACAGAGCAGACAACAGCCAAAGGCCACAAATGGGTCTTCAATGCAGCGAGAAACGCATTTGAAAGTTGTTGTCAAGAAACAAAAACAAAAAGTTTCATATATTTTGTATTGATCATTTGATAATCTGTTTGAAGCATATGCTTCAAATTGCTGATATAGGCTGACAGGTATTTGATTTGATATATAGATCTATGCCTAGCTTCATTTCCTTCAGAATAAAAAAAAATCACTTTTTGAAGCAATAATTTTCAAACTGTCACAATCTAAACAAAAACTAACATTTAAGTTCAAATAACTAAAAAATAATAAAGGTTATATTAGTTTAACGTATCTAATTTAATATCAACCCAATGACTCCAACAACATGAACAAGAAATGACAGTAAAGTCAACTGCAGATGATGGCAAACAAACCTACCAAGTATGAAAGATTTCTTGCAAAAATACTTTATAGATAAGTGGAGGTGCTTTCACAAAGCAAAGTGTCATTGTGTTACAAATGGACATAGTTCCGTCAAACCATCTACAAAAAATGACACACAATCCTACCAAGTATGAAAAGCTTCTGTCTAAGGGTTTTACTGAATTGAGTCAACAGTGTCATTGTGTTATACTATTAAAAAACTGGTCAAAGTACCATAACTCCTACAAAAATTGTTAAATGAAAATATAAGTACATTTTAAAAGGTTTAAATTAAAATATCATTAAATGTCTGTAGATGAGTTTTAAGGCTTACTACATATTAATTTTGTTAATTGATGCATATTGTCTTACAAGAGTAAAACAATGGTCAAAGTAAAATTTGTCAATTCAAAATAAAGGTATAGTTGGTAAACATGGTCAAAAGAATACACAGACAAAAAGCTTTACAAAGTATTAAAGCTTTTGGACAAATTGTGTCTGAGTATTGATGCGTTTTGGACAGAAGGGAGAAGACTTTTACTATTTCCCCTACAGTGCATGTCATTCATGTGGCAAAGGGATATAACCTTACATTTTATTGAATACACTGAGATGTTACCTGATATTTATCAATTTCAGTGACAGAACCTTATATATTGTTACATAATACAATGAGATGTTCCATAATGTTCATCAACATCAGTGCAATAACCTTATTTTATATACCTAATACACTGAGATGTTCCCTGATGTTCCTGATGAAATCTGTTGTGAACATAGACATCTGAATGTTCTCTTGAAGACTAAATTGATGACGTATTCCCCCTGCTGACAACATACTGGAAGCTCTTGTGTACTGAAAAAAAGGAACAGAATATTGAAACATTTTATTTCAAGAATGTTGAAGCAAAGGTATTGTGAAAATGAGGCCGCTCATGGGGGTGTCTAAGTAATCACATAATCACAAATTTTTTGCCAATATAATCACATAATCATTAATTATTTTTTTAAACAAGATAATAAAATAATCAAAAATACAGTCCTAGATTATCAAATAATCAAATAATCATGAAATATTTGGTCTGGTAATCAAATAATCACTATAAAAACGGCCAAGTAATCACATAATCAATAAACAGCTGCACCATGAGCGCATGATTCGCCCGTCACATTTTTTACGAATAAAGTTCAATAACTTCTCAATGTCATATCAGAAATTTGTGAAAAACTAAAGGGAGGTTATCTTAATTGATATAAACCAGTCACCAAAGTTTAATGAAAACTGCTTAAAGCACTTTAAAGGTATTGTCCGAAAACTAGAAAATCACCCCTTTTTTATGAATAAAATCCCATAACTCGGAAGTGTAAAATCTAAAATTTATAAAAATTGATAGGGAGCTTACATCAATAGATATAAACAATTCTCAAAAGTTTCATGAGAACTGCTGTAAGCATTTTTGAGTTATTGTCCAAAAACTGGAAAATTCACCCTTTTTTTTAATGAATAAAACTCCATAACTCGGAAACATAAAATCTAAAATTTATAAAAATCAAAAGGGAGCTCATATCAATAGATATAAACAACTGACCAATGTTTCTTGCAAATTGGTGAAAGCATTTTTGAGTTATTGTCCGAAAACTGGAAATCCCCTCTTTTTTAATGAATAAAACCCCATAACTCAGAAACGTAAAATCTAAATTTTATAAAAAACGAAAGGGAGCTCACATCAATAGATATGAACAATTCACCAAAGTTTTATGCAAATTGGTTGAAGCATTTTTGAGTTAATGTCCGACATGTTGACGACGGACGGACAGGCGGACAACGGTATACCATAATACGTCCCGTAAAAGGGCGTATAAAAACCCCATGAGGAGGCTCGAAAATTGAGACAATTACCATGATTATTTAAACCCTAACACATTTTTTAGTATTTTGGTCAAGCATTATCAAAAGTCAGGAATATCTCCCTATATCATGTCTATCATGTATATAGTCTATCTAAAATATTTTTAATTATAAAATCATGTCATCTACCTTAGCCTACCTTTTTTTCAGCCAGGTGGCAGGAAACAAATATTTATATATATTTTGCTTAAGTATAAGCTTTCACTTACACCATAATCTCTTTCCACTATTGTAACATTGACACCTTTCGGATTTCTTTTCTTTAACCAGTATGCCACTGAATTTCCAACCAGTCCTCCACCTATGACTAATATATCTGCTTCTCGAGGAATTATGTTCCTTGCAGGAGTCACATGACCTGTAGTGAAAGCTCCAGTGATGCTCTTCACCTCTTCTTTTAATATAATCCACGGGGAGTGGTAACTTCCAGCACTAGGTGTTTTGTACTCTTTCTCAGCTACAACTTTGTTTTCTTTCTCTGGATTATTATCAGAACTTTTGTCACTCAAGCATCTTATAGATACAGATTTATTTAGTAAGTTACATCTACATCTCAGTCTAGGTGCATATTTACTAAACATTTCAAGACAGGAAATATAAATCTAAAATAAGAATTAAAGAATAAATCAAATTATTTCCTGAAATAAAACTCAGTTTGAACATTTATATCTATTCATTTGGTCATTAACCATGTTAACCATTCTAAACAAGATTAATCATTCATATTTTATTTAATACCATTCTGAACAAAGTTATTTATTTTTGACAAATCAAGGGCTATAGCAATGCAATAGCTTTAGCAAAATACCAGTTTGTGTTTCGGCTTCACCAAAATTAGCAAGAAGGTAACTAGGGGGGATTGAGGTCATAGGCCTCTCTATGATTATCAAATTAAAAATATATCAGTTTTTGACATAAAATCATCAAAAATAATTTGTTACACTCTTGACTATTTTTACAAATAAAGACAATTCCCCTCTTTCTTTGAACCATGGATAGGCATTTATTTGCCTTTTAACAAAAAAAAAGAAGAATGTGTCCATGGGACACAGATGCCCCCTTGTAATTATGCAAGAGTCAATGTAATAATTCAAACATATTGACATTTTTTTTTCTTCAACTTAATGCCATTTATTTCTGTGTTGTCAATAAGAGATTGCTCAGGGGTTTGAGTGCTCTCATTGTTCAATAACAAACAGTAATCATGGTAACTCAAGAACAGCGAAAGTGACGCCACCCAAATTTGAACTTAATTCTGTGTTTGGTGGTAATAAACATTTAGTTGAGGCAAGCTTTATCATGTTTATAAGTAAGAGAACGGAAACAAAAAATTCAGCAATTTTTCCATTTGTTACTTTTAAATATGATATGCATCTTTATTAACATAACAGTTTGTTTTGTTTTAATCTTTATTGTTTAACTTATTTGTATACTACTGAAATGATTAAAAAGAAAATGAAAGACATGTTTTTAGGATGTATTAAAGCCCATGTACATGTAACAATTGCCCCAGACTTATAATGTTTAAGCCTGTTACCGTACCCAAAAAAGGTCAGTTTTGTATTAAACAAAAGTGACTATAGCCCACAGAATCCTACATGTATCTTAAACTCTGGGTATATTGCTCAATAATCATCTACACACATTTAAAAAAAAAATGCAATTGCATGACCATAATATCCAGACCCTGTTTTGGATAGTAGTGTTGTACATTTAATTTAAATGCACATAGAGGATAGACGAGTTTAACCTTGTGGTTATTTAGCTGAATTTTCTCTGAATAACCCTAAATCTGTCTCTGAACATTAGCTGGGACTATTATACATGTTAGACTAAAGGGATTAGAATCTCATAGGTTTTCCTTATAATATGACCTAAATACCAGACTGCATGAGATTTTACGAGACTTGCGAGGATTTTGGAGTGAAAGATGTCAACGCCTATGTAAATTTACGGAATAATTTTAAACAATCGTCAAAAACGTTTTATTGTTAAGTAATAAACGAAACAAAATATAATTTGTTACTAAGAATGACACATATCACCAATGAAAATGATGTATTTTTCATTGGCAATAATTTTATATGATTGTGTTTAATAAATCTGTATTTTCCTAAGTTTATAATGCTAAATTTCCAATGTTGCTCACCTGTATTTACTGATGCTTTGGAAATCATGTAAAATAAGGTTAAAATCATAATTAATAGTATTAGACAATGTTATTTTAGATATTATAATGATATCTAAGATAATATTAATAACAAAAAACTGCAAACTTTTTGTAAAATTACTAACTCAGGGGCAGCAACCCAACAACAGGTTGTCTGATTCGTCTGAAAATTTCAGGGCAGATAAATCTAAATCTGATGAATATTTTTACCACCTGTCAGATTTGCTCTAAATGCTTTAGTTTCAGAGATATAAACCAAAAACTGAATTTTACCCCTATGTTCCATTTTTAACCAAGTCGGCCATGATGGTTAGAAGGCTGGGTCATCGGACAAATTTTTCAAACTACATACCCTAATAATGATTATGGCCAAGTATGGTTAAATTTGTCTCAGTAGTTCCAAAGAAAAAATTTTTTGTAAAAGATTACAAAAATTTACGAAAAATTGTTAAAAATTGACTATAAAGGGCAATAACTCCTAAAGGGGTCGACTGACAATTTTGGTCATGACGACTTGTTAGTAGATCTTACTTTGCTGAACATTATTGCTGTTTACAGTTTATCTCTATCTATAACAAGCATTCTGTGAGTATTGCATGGCAATACATAGTCCCCTACCGGTTAAAAATTCATTGTAATGGAGCAAACCTACCACTAAATTCTTCAAACAATTTACTGAAGAAAAGGAAAAAATCCAAAATGTCATTTATCTTAATACAATGTCTTTTACAAATCTTAAAAAAAACTAGAGGCTCTCAAGAGCCTGTGTCGCTCACCTGTATTTACTGATGCTTTGGAAATCATGTAAAATAAGGTTAAAATTATAATTAATAGTATTAGATATTAGATATTAGATATTATAATGATATCCAAGATAATAACAAAAAACTGCAAAATTTTTGTAAAATTACTAACTCAGGGGCAGCAACCATACAAAGGGTCGTCAGATTTGTGTGAAAATTTCAGGGCAGATAATTCTAAATCTGATGAACATTTTTGCCACCTGTCAGATTTGCTCTAAATGCTTTAGTTTCAGAGATATAAACCAAAAACTGCATTTTACCCCTATGTTCTATTTTTAGCCATGGCGGCCATCTTGGTTGGTTGGCGGGGTCATCGGACAAATTTTTTAAACTAGATACCCTAATAATGATTATGGCCAAGTATGGTTAAATTTGTATCAGTAGTTTCAGAGAAGATTTTTGCAAAAGATTACAAAAATTTACGAAAAATTGTTAAAAATTGATTATTAAGGGTAATAACTCCTAAAGGGGTCGACTGACAATTTTGGTCATGACAACTTATTTGTAGATCTTACTTTGCTGAACATTATTGCTGCTTACAGTTTATCTCTATCTATAATAATATTCAAGATAATAACCAAAAACTGCAAAATTTCCTTAAAATTACCAATTCAGGGGCAGCAACCCAACAACAGGTTGTCAGATTTGTCTGAAAATTTCAGGGCAGAAAGATCTTGATCTGATAATCAGTTTTACCCTATGTCAGATTTCCTCTAAATGCTTTGGTTTCAGAGATATAAGCCAAAATCTACATTTTACCCCTATGTTCTATATTTAGCCATGGCGGCCATCTTGGTTGGTTGGCGGGGTCATCGGACACATTTTTTAAACTAGATACCCTAATGATGATTGTGGCCAAGTTTGGTTAAATTTGGCCCAGTGGTTTCAGAGGAGAAGATTTTTGTAAAAAGCTAACGACGACGACGACGACATGGCCTTCGGGTCAGGTGAGCTCAAAAGAAGAGTTATTTCCCTTTGAACAGAAATCTAGTAATTAATAAGTATTTTATCAAAAATTTAATTCTAGGAAAAAGTTAAAAAATGAGTTAATTCCCTTTGAACAGAAATCTAGTAATTAATAAGTATTTCATCAAAAATTTAATTCTAGGGAAAGGGCTTTAACTGAACAAGGAGAAAAGCTAAAATCGTGAAAATCAAACTTGACCTGTAACTTGTCATGATAAAACAATACACCAAATATCAAATCAATATCTTCAAGCATGAAGAAAAAAAGTCTGGAAAACTGATTTGCCGGACTGAAGGATGGACAGATTGACGGACAGACAGACGGACAGAGTGCAAACCTAAAGTCCCCTTCCACTTCGTCTGTAGGGGACTAATAATATTCAAGATAATAACCAAAAACTGCAAAATTTCCTTAAAATTACCAATTCAGGGGCAGCAACCCAACAATAGGTTGTCAGATTTGTCTGAAAATTTCAGGGCAGATAGATCTTGACCTGATAATCAGTTTTACCCTATGTCAGCTTTACTCTAAATGCTTTGGTTTCAGAGATATAAGCCAAAATCTATATTTTACCCCTATGTTCTATTTTTAGCCATGGCGGCCATCTCGGTTGGTTGGCAGGGTCATCGGACACATTTTTTAAACTAGATACCCTAATGATGATTGTGGCCAATTTTGGTTAAATTTGGCCCAGTGGTTTCAGAGGAGAAGATTTTTGTAAAAAGCTAACAACTAGGGACGATGATGATGATGGACGACGGATGACAGACGCCAAGTGATGAGAAAAGCTCACTTGGCCCTTCGGACCAGGTGAGCAAAAAGGTATCTAAGGGAACATAGTTCAATAAGTGAAATTAATAGAATAACGCTCCCCTTTTTGGGAGTTATGCATTTGGATTGGTTAGATTGTTAAGAATATAAAATGAAAGATTGTTTTTAAAAGGGCAGTTCAGGGGCTGAGATTGATAAGATAGCTCTAAAAAAGTGGTATTCCAAAAAGGTATTGTTTTTTACAATGAACTCTTCAGATGTGAAGTTTACGTGATTAAGGGTTGTATCAAAATATGGTGACTTAGAGTTGTTCAAGTCAAATACATGCTATGTAAATATGTATGAAATATTTATTAAGTTAATAATGAATATGTTGGTGAACATCCAACTTAGTGTTTTATTCACTATTAACCGTATTGCCAAAGGAAGCTGGACCTAATGCTCTAGCAACCCAAACATGCCAAAGCTCTGAGTTAGTTCCCCTACCAAATAATATGATAAGAGCTGGGCCGCAGAATGTCATCTAGTACCCCCGCCAATTGATATGCAATCCAGCCTGGTCATACACACAAAAGAGAGATGTTCAGGTTATGAAGTGATTAAAGCATTGTGAAATGGTCACTGATTTATGGCCATCATTTTTATTTATTATCCCCTTGCATTTAGGCACACTTCCAGTGTCTTCCCTAGAAAATTTTTCATGCATGGTGGGTCCATGGTGAATTTGCAACGCGGTGTGCAACGCTTCTTTTTCAGAATTAGTTACACTACATAATTTATATGTTTAAAGCCATATACCAATCTAACTGTTTTATTATAGGTACAGCAATTCATATAAGTCATGGAACTTTAAAGTATTTATCACAGATGAGAGGAATTAATGAAAGACCT